ATGAGGTGCTGAGAGACTCCCAGGTATCTGCATGGAAAGAGACTTCATGGGAGAAGCAGACGACGCTTCCTTTTCGTTCCTTTTCCTTTGGAATTCCCTTAAATTCCACAGAACAGCTCAACTGGGACTTTTATTTCCATTAGTCACCCCTTTGAAAATGTTCCAGTGACGGTGGGCCTCGTAAACAATCCAGAGTTCAATACAGTAAGTCAAACAAACAAAATGGTCTTCTCGGGAACCGGGGCTACTGGCTTTGGATATGTCACTTTAAAGAACACGAGTTTCAATTAGAGAATGTAGCATTCTAGTTGTTTAACACCCTGCCTAAATAGCTCCATGCTTACCTAAGTCCATGATAAAATCCCCGTGGTATTTACTGTAATGATGTGACCTTGTTTGGAGAGGGTTTAACATCAAGCAAAACACACTCCACCACATGCACATTCACATTCTTGGATTTTGTTAGACAGCTGTGCAATTCAGAGCCTATTCTGTCTAATAAACACGCCGCTGTGAGGGAGTGACTCAAGTCACAAAGAGAATGATTTGGATTGTTACCAAGGTGTCTCAAGTGATATCATAAGTTCCACTGACAGTTAGTTGCTTAAATCTTTAAATATACAACGTTTAACCATCTTTAGAAAGCTTTAAAAACGAAAATAGATGCCTGTACTTTCAGATATAAAGTCATGTGGCAAAAGAGTAAATATGTGGGTTTAAACATTACTGTGGGGGGCTTGAAAAGCAGCAGTGGTAGTGAAGGCCTCCCATGACAATGAGTTTCATTTCTCATCAATCTAGCTGCTCTTTTTGGAGAGGCGACAAAAACAAACACATTAGCGCTCATTTCATTAAACCAGTGTCAAACCATGCATTGTCTGCAATTGTGTTAAAACAGGATCCAAGTTGTCTCTGCTCTCAGCATGCCCCTTCTTTCAACATACAGTACAACTCCACCCCCCCGCTGAACTGGAGCAGAAACACATTTGGAAACAAACGAGGCATGGGGGATTTACATCATAATATCAGTGCAGCCCGTTTTTAAGAGAGAAGAGGAAAGAATTGATGCCGAAACTCAACGATAACATTTTAAATGCCAGAATGCTTTATAGGGAATCTAAATCTTTAGAAAAAGAGCTTGCTTTACACTTGCATTAAGTAAAACTGTCAAAAGGGGACAACAAATAACATATTTTCCCTTTAATTACTCCCTTAATAATCTTTACGGTCATGAAAGTCAATTATTGATGCTTTCTGACAGTAACACATTATATGTTTTGAATGAATGCACATTATCATAAAACAGAATAATACATATTCTAAGTGAAAGCTTCCACCCCACAAATGTGTCAAATTCAACAGATTATATTTGGCTTATTTGTAAACTTTCGGCTTTCCGCTACCTAAGATAAAGTACAGAGGGTTTGAGCGGAGCTTGGCGGCAAAGCATAGGCGATGTTTTAGAGGTTAATATATGTTTATGTAAAACATAACATGAACATGTGAACAAAGAATCAGGTTGGACAAGGACCCCTCTTGTCTGCATGTCTTTCCATCACCAGAGTGTTAACGGCCTGAGCGCACGGCACAGTATCGCATGTTGAACCTGTTGACCTCTCGGGGGGGTGACGCTGCAGACAAAAAGCTGTTACGGCACATCCAGCCGTCTACATGAAAACAAAGTTCACACTTCCTGACTCCGGCGTCCCACCACAAACTCATAACTCAGCGAGGTCGTACAAATCGCGTGCCCTTCTGGAAACACGCTTACATCACAACCCAACATTTCCAAGATGCTCAATCTCTCTAAAATCACTCGTTTCCACATTCCTCTGTTGCATAAGCATTTTGTGAGCAGGTCGAAGGTCAGCGTAAACAACAATGGCCTCCAGTTTGAGGCAGAGAGCAGGGTGAGAGAAAGGAAACACCTTGATGCCTGATGCTTTTCTCTAGTAAAGCAGGGAGCTGTTATCAGGCCATTACACCCTCAACAGGCAGAAGATTGGGTTCCCCTGATGCTCTGAAACCCCGCTCAAAAGCTTTTATTCTGCACAGAACGAGCGGGGATATAATCCCATGCATCTCTTTTCACACCTGTCCGCTCACATTCAAATCACAAAGAGGGCTTGTGTGAGGAGAGTCTCCATTTGCATAGTTTGGTCCTCTGTATGCAACCGAAGGAGAGAGGAAGCATCTGACAAAAGGAATACATCTCTGCTGTGATGCCAGTTGTTGTTTCTTTCTGATTTCCAAAGCTGGCAGATTCTCAGTTTAAGAAAATCTGAGAGATAAAGCTTCCATTCATAAAGTGGACGTATAAAACTTGAGCTGTTATTTAGAGTCAGGGGCTTCACCTAGCTATAGGTTTAAATGTGGGAGTGTTGCATGTAACAGTGGAACTGTTGCAAAAGTCTGCCGATTATTTTAATGGTTTATCATTTGATCTTTAAGAGATCACAAAGTTCTGGAAGATCTCCAGTGTTGTCAAACTGCTTCTTTTGTCTGAACAAAAGTCCAAAATCCAACCAATGTATTATCGTTGACTTTCACATTCTTTTTATAAATCATACACTGCTTTTAGAGACTACTATACAACTGATAAGAGAGCTGCACACATGGCTGTCTAGGTTTAGAAACTGTTCAGAATTCAAACTAGCATAATCGGGTTTATCAATATTAGGTTAAGGGCTTATCCAGGTTTCTGAAATGTTTCTGATGCACTTCGAGATAATGGAGGAACGCCCCAAAAGCCTTATCATAACCGTTACACTACTGCACATGTAACAGAGCCGCAGATATGAGTCAACTTAAAACATTTAAACACAGCACCTTGGACTTTGAGAAACTGGGATGGCCTTTTTTCCCCTCTGAGATCTAATAAACCGACTCATCAAGAAAATAGACGGATGAATTGCTAATGATAATAATCGTTAGTTGTAGAGCTAACATATACACATACTGAGTGTATCTCACATAATGAGCTGTCTCATGAGATGGGGACATTTTAACAAACGGTCCTAAAACCAAAGCATTAAGTTGTGGATCAGATACGTTTAGTTCTTTCTCTCGGCCTCTCTCACACAATCCAGCTCCGAACGTCATCAGATTTCTTCCAACATCCCCTCCGCCCCAGTAATCGTGTGTTCGGCCACTTTACTGCATAATCAGACGCCTATGGGCTCGATCTAACAAAACTGGCACGGCCCTGAGTACTGAAGCCCAGCATTACAGCCTGGCTGCTGACCAGTTTTCAAACGGCCCTGCAGAGCGTCGAATAACAGGATGTAGAGCGCCAAGTGAAAAAAGGGTGATACTCGTAGTTGAGTTGCCTCGAGGGCACCTGGTTCTGGGTGGCGATCATATAAAAGAGAAGGGGATGCGGGAAGCAGCGTGGTAATAGAGTGCCACTGCCATCGCCTTAATGAAAAAACATTTATTCCAACAATGCTGGTATAATTTGAGTATGCAGAGTCACAGTGCTCGCCAAGTGTGCTTGTTGGCAGGCTCCGTATCAGAACCACAGGAATCAGGCAACACTGTGACATGATTTCAATTCAATAACAATGAAAGCCCCAACACCGCCTTCCCATACACACACCTCCATCACAAGTCCACAACCCCTGCCTCCCTTGGTTTCGCCTCCCCCTCCCCTTAATGAGTGCTGCTTACATGTTTCCTGCTACAGAGGCTCGATTAGACCAGACACATGTATGGGAGGAGGAATTTGAAGAATTTGTGGCAAAACAAATGCTTTACTTGGATTTTAATTATTTACATCTACAACACACACGCAGGTTCCACGGAAAAATGTGTTTTAAGTGAGACGTTTTTTTCAAACAGGTCCCAAGATGTTTTTAAGAATTGCTGCCAAGAAACGTTAAAGTTATAGAAGGAGAAAAGCAGTGGTAACAAATAACCCTTTAGAGTACACATAATTAAATCTAACAAAGCAAACCTAAGGAAATTACATTTGACTAATAATCTTTCACATTGATCCAAACACATGGCCCATAATTCCTTTGGGACAATATTATATTTAGTATAAAGCAGTTGGCCTTCTTTCTACTTTCCTTTACATAAGAACACACACTGGCCGTGGTGTTAAAGCCATGATTGACAGGTAAATGGACCATACTTATCTTTTGTTTGACTGACAGGGGAAATATTATCAGTTCAAGTTAGCTTATCACAATTGTATGAGTATCTACGTACATGTCACCTGATAAGTAATAAGAAATCGCAGGACTAACGTGACAAGTGCGTACAGGTAAATGAAGGATGCATTTAAAAAGACGCATTAATCCTTGGGGACAGGGTATCTTAACCATCTCAAATTAAGCTTGTCCACACCACACACTTCTTCTTCTTTTAATATTAGTCATAGTTTAGTCTTGTTTATCTTGGATTTACAGTTTATTTGTGTGGAGCAGAAACTTAACCAACATCAATTTCAATATATAGACTAAAATACTGACAAATTCATCTAAAAAAACAAAACGATTGACAGGTTCATAGATGATATATACAAATCATAGATGAACTTTTTAACTGCAAAATCTTCCACTCAGCACACACTTTTATTATCAAGTAAATGTAAGGGTTTTTATCCAAAACGCTTGTGTATGTCATGTTAAAAACTATTAGCAGCTGATAAATGATTATTACATTCTTTTAATATTGATATTGGCTCAGCAAATCTCAGTATCACTCAGTCACTACTCTCAATGCAACTTTTAAGGTGTTCTGACTTTAGATGTAGTTAAGATGGCAAACAATTGTCACCTGGTCTTTGTAATCATTTGAAAGCCACCCCTATCACCACATTGGTCTCCATATTATCCCACTTTGTGTACATCTGACCCAACATCCAATAGAGTCAAAGTAAGCCATAAACCTGCCAAAATGAATCTGTTTTGTATCCATTAACTTCAGGTGGAGAACATGGGATTTCCCTGCAGGAGATTCACATTAATATCACATACAACAATAGCAGGACTCACCTCAGTTGATGGTATGCTGACAACACCTGTTGATCTCCTCTTTTCCCTCAGCTTCCTCTTCTCGATCTGTCCTTTCCCCTTCCTAGCACTGGGGCCAGAGCTATTCTTCTCTTTCACTTTACTGGGCGATGGGCTTCCCTTGTCACTGTCAATGCAAGCCATGGAGCTGGAGTCCGGGGAAGCGCACTGATCCTTCTCCGTCTGAGGCGGGGCCTTCTTCAGGTTGCTCCCCGGCGGGGTGGGTGAAGCAGGGTGGGCAGCGGGCTGGGCAGCAGGTTGGGCAGCAGGTTGGGCAGCGGGGTGGTGCGTTTCCTCCTCGGGTCTCTTTAAAGCCGTGCCGGAGGAGGACCGAGCCACCGTGTAGGAGGAGGGGAGGCAGTTCCCAGCAGAGGCGCTTCTCTCCGGGTTTCCGTTATTGGTGAGCTCGGTGTGGCGGTTACTGTTTGGGTTATTGCCAACCAGAGGAGCACCAGTCGCTGCGGCTATGTCCCCCAGCATTTTGGCTCTCATTTTCTCCCGTTTTGCCTTCCACTCCTCCAAAAAGTCAGTCGTGGCGCTTGACTTAAATCCACCCGTTGCCATTATCCCTTTATCGAAAAGTTGGTGAGAATGAACCTAAAGTTTATATGGAGTTTCGGGTCTAATGCCACAGCATTCCTCAAGTGATTAGCCGGGGTGCTGTTGACAGGTAAAGAGAACAAAGTCACGACAATTAAAACTTTGTATTTCAGCTCTTTTTTCAGATAAGTTTGTTTTCTACCTCGTTACTCTTAACCACTAACGTCAGGTTAACAGGTAGTTGCTGCTAGCTTGAATGCGTAGAAGTTGCACCTAACTGTGTCTCTCTGATGATATTTCCCCGCGTAAAAGTTCACCAAAGTGTGCAAAAGTTGACAAGAAAGAGAAGAAGTGAAACGTCAGGTAGAAACTCACCTGTGGGAAGTTGTTTCAGACGCTAAACTGCTCTCTGCGGTCCGACCAGGTGTGCTCTCGGTCCTCTTGGATGAATGGCGCTGTCTCGAGCGCCGAGCTCGCTCGCTCGCTCTGCCCTCCGTCGCTCCGGGTGATACCGAAAATACCCGAGCACTTCCGACTGAAGCCGAAGCAACAGCCGAGCTCAGCACGTAAATATAGTCACTGTCATGGGCTTTTTCATGTGTCTATAGTTATTAGTGGTACTTTTAAGACATTTAAAGTATGTTATGATAGGTCTGTACTGTTCCCATAAAGACAGTGATTTATATATCAGCATACTTTATCATACTTTTGAGCTTTTCATTATAGTATGTCTGCAATTTCATGGTTTTATAGTGCATATTAAGTTAAGTAAACTATAAAAAGTCGTTAATTTACCTTGTTCTATTATTGGTGTTTTGCTGAAGTAATTTTCACAGTTTTGGAAGAGTGCACATTCAAATAAAAATATATTAATATTAATAATATCATTTTCCATCTCAGTTTAACTAAAAAACATTCATACAGCTGAGCTTCCTCCCCTCCTGCAGCTCTCCTGCGTAATGACCCCAGCTTAGTGGGAACATAATTAATCTAACTTACTGCAAGTCAGCGCCGCTCACTGATGCAAAGCTCCATTGTAATAACTCTACATTCTGCATTCCAGTGATATTCAGTCTCTGAACATTTGTGCCATTACCTCACTGTACGAGCAGGTTTCTCCACACGCTGTGATTTAACCTTCCTACAGGTGCTTACTGTCAGAAAACTCATTTCTTGCAAGGATAAAAGCACTATAGGTTAACTAACGGTATCAGCCCTATAGTGTTAGATGTGTGTGCAGCCTACACCAACTTTAAGGACTGTCACTATGTATTTCCCATATACAAATAGCACACATATGTCGTTTTTCTAGCAGGAAAATTCATACTTTGTAATTGGTGCAAACAAGAAAAACATCACTAACACAATGGAATATTCGGACTACATTCTTTTATCGTATTTTTTAAGAAATGGAATGGTTACAGAGCATACAAAACTAAATTTAAATACAGCCAAAACTACAATACATAAAATAATCAACCAGCCATGGAAAAAAACTATAACTAAGAATAGTCCTTCCATTAGAAAAATTGTATTAAATTAGCCGTGCTATTTCAAAATATGATTGAAACAGGAAGTGGCATCATGGACTGGTAAATAATATTGATTCAGAAACACTGTGTATGTGTGTAAAATGTAATTTTCTATGATTAATGTGGATGTTTATGAATTTAAAGGCATCATTACAGCCCCATCACCCCGACCCCTCTTATTTTAAATGTATTTCTCCCTTATTTTTGGGTTTTTTGTATTTGTTTGTTTTTAATAAATTATTATTATTTATTCGTACTGTTTACATGTACTATTGTATCAAGCACAGACTTGCAACAAAATAAATGGAAACAATTATTGAATAAAAACAAACCCGATATTATTTATGTGAAAGAGGCTTTCTTGCCTGCTATTTGCTGCACATGTCAACAAATGTGACACCTATCCACATCCCCACATTAGTGAGCGGGAGAGCAGGCATTCAGCCATTATCTTTACAAGGTCCAACCCTGTTGCAGATAATGAGAACATTTGGGTGGAGCAAAGGGAGTAAGGCGCCTTTCCTAAAAATAAACCCTGATCTATTGACTTAGGTCACTCTGCTACATATTCAGCATATTTCTGTCTGCTCTTGAGGAAGGCAAAGATTGTGAGAAGGCACACTAGTTTGGATAAGGGTTTCCTTCCATGCCAACACAAAAAATCCCATCCCAGAGATACATTCCTAAAGTAAGTGTTTAGACTTAATGTTTTTAATCCCAAATGCTCTTCAATGAATAGCCATATCATGCGTTTTGTAACACATATCACGTTTGAGGTGAAAATGTATTGCCTGCTCGACTGTTAAATGAGCAATGCCAAGTAATCTGACATTAACAGTGCATGGCTGGGCACTCTTGCGTTCACACATTTTCATTTATCTGACAGTAATGTTTCAGTCAAAAGCCATTATGGGTAATTTTGTAGCGAGGAGTCTACGCTGGGAGCTCACGCCCACGTGAAAATGTTTATCCAACAGTTTAAGTATTCAAGAAATGTTTCTCCAGACAGAGCCTCCCCGACGTTATGTCTGCAGTTACCACACACTGTAGTCAGGTTAGGAATATTATGAATCCTTCAACACAGAGAGAGAGACTGAGGAGTCATGTTTTAGTTAGTAAACCAGGAACCGCTTTATAATTAGTGTCATTGTAAACTCCCACAACACATGGTAACGTTCCATAGCTGTTTGCTTTGTTAAACCAGCATTTCATAAAAGAAGTAGAAAAGCATTGGGAGCTGGAAACAGTTTCAAAACAGCCCATTCATTATAATAATGGATTGGAAGTTTATGATGGACATTTGGAGTCACAATATTGACAGAAAAAATGAATTACTCATCAAAATTGTCATAATTTTCATTTTTTAAGACTCCTCAATGTTCAACTTTGGACTCTTTTTTTATAAAATGTACGATATTTTATAATCTCAATAATAGTCATCAACAGTAATCACACTGTTTTAATTGGTATATCATGTAGCACTATACAGTCATTTGTCCTCTCCTTGTGTGACCTCTTCTACCCATGATGCATCACAGTGCAGCTGCTGACACAACAAAGAGAGAGAGCTGTCTCCTCTTCGCTAAACCCATCCTCACAGATCTACCGCTGCTTTGAATCCCTTCTTTTTCCCACCGAGGGTTCGTCTTAGTTTCAGTGACAGACTCGAGCTGTCACTTCATCAGGACGCCACGATTTGTCATTGTTTGTCAGCGAGGGAGAAACCCCGCTGCTGTTTCTGCTCGAATCTGAGGGGTATTTGCTTATCCTGCGTGTCTAAGTCTCATCTGTGGTGTGTTTAAAAATTGCATTTTGGGGAAGGAGGTTTGTTTGGCCTGCTGCACTTTACGGTATAAGAGAGGCAGATTAGGCCGTGGTGGAAATAAAAAGAGCAGGAGAAGAGGAGAGTGAGTGTCTGTCTGTGTGTGAGACAGCAGCGATCTAATTCCTTCTTTATGGATGATTTCCAGCTCAGAAAAGCACAGCGCGTCATCTCATGGTGGAGCTGCTGTCAGGAAAGAGACTTTATACTCCTGCTGTGATTTCTATGACCCTACAATTAATTCCCCTGTAGTTTAATTCAAATTCACGTGCAAAGAGTTTCCTTTGAGTCTGCCAAACAACAAGAAATGGCTGCATGTATTCAAACCATTTGTTCCTATAATAATGGGGTTCATTATAAGGCCAGGAATGTGTCAAAAAGTAGTTTTTTGACCCGATGAAGACATTTTGTTCAGGGATTGTTAATGAAGCTTGTCCATGTCACATTTAAAACGAACCAGATTTCCTAACCACGTGCTGAGGCAACGGAAAAACAGAACAGTCTTTTTGCATGTCTCTGAGCAATTACAGCAGATAGCAGCGTTTATTTTGAAAACTTAATTTGAAAGTGGGAGCTCTTCATCACAGGAGCAGGACACACCCGGTGAAACAAGCAGAAATAAGAGCTTAAACTTCCATTATCGCTGTCATATAAATCACTTGATGAGGAACCTGACTTAAACAGTTGAGTAAGAATACCAAGAATCTGAAGGGATTTAAACTCAGGGAGAACAGACTCAGCATTGTACCTCCAGACACATTACCCTAATCCTGGCTCCTCTTCACATTTAAGATTGTAGCCTACTGATCACTTTCTAAGCATTATTGTGATTAACAACAAACTATATAGCAGAACTAGTGGCGGCATATGAGGCGGTTTGCAGTCTGAGACCTTCAGATGCGCTTTTTCTTGCTGATCCTGAGTTTGAATCTGAAGGTGACCGTGGATTTGTCATCAGTCCCCTTAGAATTTTGGAACAACCTGCCAGAGAAAATGAGTCGTAGAATTGGTGTCCTCTTGATTTAATCTAAATCCATTTTGACTTGCTTTTATTGGTTATCCTTTTGAAACTTCCTTGTTCTGCCATTCTGTCCCTCTCTTCTCCTGTCCTCCTCCTCTCTGTCTTCCTGTCTTGTGGTTGTCCCCCCCCCCCCTGCAGAACCTCCCCCAGGTAAAGCAGGTTCAGGCCCTGCGGCAGGTGAAGGAGCGGCTGCAGGCTGAGAACCGGGCCCTGTCCCGCGTCTTGGCAAAGCTCTCGCAGTCCGCCTGCAGCCAGCTGCCCACCGTCGACCTCTAAGCCACGTCCGTTTTTAATGACATTTAAAGAAAAAGTATCTCTTTTACGTTATCATTGTCTTTTCCCTGCATGTTATTTTCTGCCTTTTTCTTTAATTGTAACTTGCCTCATTGTTTGGCTTTCTTTTTTATATTGCCTTCTGTGTATCCTGCTCCCTCAGTTTTAAGGTGCTGTATAAATAATGTTACGAGTTTTACTTTTGATGTATGATGCTTTTAAAAAAAAATCATTTCCCCAGTATGTATTGCTTTTATTAATGAAATGTAATTTATTAATTTGTGCAAAAGTAAAAAAAGGCCATAAATTGAACACATTTCTAAACACCTTAACTCCTGAGTGACATTTTGTTTTGCATTAGTTTGTTTTTATTTGCTTTAAAACATTTTAGTTTTCTGTTCATGCCCTCAGTTTTGAGTTATTGTAATGCACATTGATGTTTATGTGCCTTGCCTAATATGCAGCTGATGAAGCCAATTGATATGAATGTGAGTGTTTCAGTATAACATCCTTACCTTACATATTCAGACATGCAAGAAAGCCTTCCACTGTAACTGTGAACGATTGTAAAATGATGTTCGGTGCAGACTGACGGTCTGTAAAGAAGTGCCCCATCTACTGGTGTGATGGTGTAACAACAGGGAATTGGTTCTTTGCTCCCTTTCAATATTTAAGTTGTCCAAAAACAAAAGATCTACAACATTATATTAAGCCCCATTGTATTGTGATGGAAATAGATATAAAGGCTGATTTCCCCCCCCCCCCCCCCCCATTTTATTTCAAATGAATTTAACCAATAAAGCTTCAGCCTTAGATCCACACATCTGTTTGATCCTGTTCAAGAAAGGAAGAAATAAGTTAGTAAAAACATTATAAAGACA